CTTTCTTTTCTTTCTTTCTTTTTATTTTCTTTCTTTCTCTTTTCTTTCTTTTTTTCTTTCTTTTTCTTTTTTCTTCCTTCCCTTTCCTTCCTTTCTTTCCTTTTTTCCCTTCCTTCCTTCCTTCCTTCCTTCCTTCCTGTTTTTCTGACTTTTCTTTCCAGTTTTATGTTTTATTAACACGAAATATGACATGTACATAAGCTGTCTATTCATTTTCTTCTCTGAGCAGCCTCGCATTGGGGTTGGTGACTCCGATAGCCAGCTGGGCTCCTCTTTCCACAAGGACTTTGTGGTTCTTTGTGGTTCTTGATGCTGTAAACGATCTCTGCACAGTAAGGTTTGCTGCTCTTCAGTGGTACTTCCAGCTCCTTGGCATTGTAGACTAGGAACTTCCAGAAGCCACTGGGCAGCATGGACTTGGTTTTCTTGTCACTCCCATAACCAATGTTGGGCATCAAGATCTGGCCCTTGAATCTTCTGTGCACCCTATTGTCAGCGCCTCTGGGTTTCCACCATTTGCACTTAACTTTGACATATCAGTCTGACTGGTGCCAGATGAGCTTCTGGGTCCTCTTTTTCACGATCTTGGGCTTCCCCAGGGGTCTGAGGGCAGCCAGGATGCCGAGTAAGAGCTGGCTGCCACCTCCACAGGCAGCGCCGAGGAAGAGACGGCAGTTCGGTTTGTTTTTTGAGCCCTTGCAATACTATTCTGGTCTGCGTTGTTCTTTTGGTACAGCTGGGGTTCCTGCTCAATCCCTGCCGGTGTCTTCTGTGGTGTCAGAAGGTGCTTCCCTGGGTCGCATGGTGTTGCTGGGCCTTCTGCAGAGGGACAGGCAGGGAGACACAGGGCTTTGCAGCTGCTGTGAACAATTCGGGCCACCTGCTGGCACGCTGGTCTGAAACTAGGGCTGGGGTTCCCCGTAAGTCTCTACTGGGCTCCCCCTTTCTTGTCCTTTGGCTGAGAAAGCAAGCTTTCCACTTTTTTTTCCTTCCTCCTCTTTCTGTTGGTGGCTCTGGGTTGCAGGCCCCTTCAGAGCTTAGTCCAGGGTATATGGGAAAGGAAAAGAAAACCCAGGGAGATTCACCACTTTGTTGTTCCTCGACTCTCAAGGGCCCAAGCCAGCCCACCATCTTCTTTCTAGCTTTCAAGGTTTCTAGCTATCATGGTTTTTAAGCTTTCAAGGTTTTTAGTCGTACTTAGAGAAGAGAAGGAAAAACTGATTCTGCACCATCTGGTTCTAAAACCACAAGCCTGCCTTTTAAAGGAAGCAGTGGTTGGAGACTGTATTCAAAGGGCAGGAAAAAATAAAATAAAGAAATTGACCCACATCAACTCCCCCAGTTGGTTCCTTGGTTCTGAACTGTATGACTCAAAATTGGGCCTTGTGCTTGGTCTGGTCTGTTGTCATTAAATAAGTCATCAAGGGCTATCATTTTGGTATGCATGATTCCGGGGACTGGTGGCACAAACGGTGTGACGCTGCGTAAGTGGATGTAAAACTGTGATGGGCTACGTGTCTTTATGTGCGTATTCAAGCACACAATGGTTTTAAAAGCACAATTGGCTAAGGTTTATCATAGCTGAGCACTGCCTGAAGGACGGATGGTTGTAACTTTCTTAAACCCCTCTCCTGCAGAGAGTGGAGGGGGTGGCAGGCATGGTTACAAATTACTGGATCAGGGATGGCAAACAGGATTAACTCATTTGCTAATTCTGCTGAATTGATGCCAGATACTTTGTCCTGAAAGATCCAAAAGCAGGGCTTAGACTTAGGGTCATGTTCCATGAGTTTGGTGTGCCGTGGATATAGGAATGGGCGGTGGCAGCACATATGCCTCACCCGTTTAACATCCCCGATCTAGAAAAGTCCTCCAGAGCTCACATTCTTCCTATAGACACAGGCAGGGCTTACCTGAGTTTGAAGGCCCAAGGGTGGAAAAAAAAAAAAAAAAGCGATCTATCTTGAAGAGTATGTAATAAAGAGATTTCTTGGCGTGGGGGCCCAGAGCGATGGGCTTTTGCAAAGATTTTGCCCAGTGGTTCAGCACATAAATAGTTCTAGCTGGGATGAGACTTGGCCTGATATTTACACAAGTCCTACCAACATCTATTTGTAAACAAGTGCGTGTTTTGTCTTGTTTTGTTTTTTAGTAAGACTTTTCTGCTTTTTACAAAGAGTAGAAACACTTTCCAAATGACCTCTGACTCTGGGGCCCTACCTGTTCTACTCACAGACTCAGTAGCAGACAAACAGCTGTAGACACAGCTCATCTCAGGGGCCAGGAGGTGATTCGGGCGGGAAATAAAGCAGGGATCACATTTCCACGCCTTGCTTCGTCATATACAGGAAGAGAATTATTACCATTTTATCTGACAGTTGTGTAAAAATACTAAGAAGCCAAAAACGCCTGTTGTGTAAATG